GTCCGGGGTGCCTGCCTGCCCGGCCGGTGGGGGCGGGGAGGTCTGGGGGTGCAAGGAGGTCCGGGGGCGCAGGGAATTCTGGGAGTGCCTGCCCGGCCGGGGAGCAAAAAGGTCTGGGGGTGCAGGGAGGTCTGGGGGTGCAGGGAGGTCTGGGGGTGCAGGGATGTCTGGGGGAGCGGGAAGGTCTGGGGTGCAGAGAGGTCTGGGGGTTCAGGGAGGTCTGGGGGTTCAGGGAGGTCTGAGGAGCAGGGTGGTCTGGGGGTTCAGGGAGGTCTGGAGTGCAGGGGGTCTGGGGGCCCAGGGAGGTCTGGGGGTGCAGGGAGGTCTGGGGTGCAGGGAGGTCTGGGAGTGCAGGGAGGCCTTGGGTGCAGGGAGGTCTGGGGGTTCAGGGAGGTCTGGGTGCAGGGAAATCTGGGGGTTCAGGAAGGTCTGGGGAGCAGGGAGGTGTGGGGAGCAGGGCGGTCTGGGGAGCAGGGAGGTCTGGGGGTTCAGGGAGGTCTGGGGAGCAGGGAGGTCTGGGGGTTCAGGGAGGTCTGGGGAGCAGGGAGGTCCAGGGACCCCAAGCTCCGGCCCTGATGCCTGTGCCTGGTTCTCCCCCTGTAGCGTCAATGACCCGAGTAACATGTCGCTGGTGAAGGAGACGGTGGACAGGCTCCTGAAGGGCTACGACATCCGCCTCAGACCCGATTTTGGAGGTGAGGGGGGGCTGCCCTGGCAGCCAGACACAGCCCGGCTCCCGCCCAAGCCGCTCCCCTCACCTGCTGGTGGGGGGCCGCCCCGGGACACTCACTCACCGGGACCTGGCCTGGGCTCAGATCTGGAGATGCTGCCCTGCCCTGCCCTGCCTTCCTTTTCCTTCCCTTCCCTTTCCTTTCCTTCCCTTCCCTTCCCTTCCCTTTCCTTCCCTTCCCTTCCCTTTCCTTCCCTTCCTTTCCTTTCCTTTCCTTTCCTTTCCCTTCCCTGCCTTCCCTTTCCTTCCTTGCCCTCCCTGCCCTGCTACCCTGCTGCCTTGCCCATGCACCTCCGCCCTAGCTCTCCTGTCTTTGCTTCCCGGACACACAAACCTCTTTAAGTTCAGCGTCCTGAGAATCTGGCTTGCAAAAAAAAAAAAAAAAAAAAAAAGCCATGACCTCCCAGGGCAGGGTGCAGGTGGGGGTTGGTGGAGAGGTGCATTAACCCCTTGTGGCCACCTGCTTGGAAATTGTAGCCTGGTGGAAAGCGGCTCAGTCTGGAGACTCTCCATCCAGTCCTCGGAGCCTCACAGTATGGTGTGTGTGTGTGTGTGTGTGTGTGTGTGTGTGTGTGTGTGTGTGTGTGTGTGTGTGTGTGTGTAAGGGTGGAGGGTTGTAAAGGATTCAGTCTCTCCACAGCTCTAGATAAACTGATAGTCCCATGTAATTTGGTTCCACAGTCCTATGGAACCGAAAGAGTTAAACCGTACACACCGAAGCTGGGTGGGGAAGCCCCTGGAGTTGGGCACACCTGGGAGCAATTCCTAGAAGGGCTTCCAGCCCTTTTCCCAAACCAACACCGGAGGAGTCACTGTGGAGGTGGGGGGTGGGAGGAAGGACTTCTGGGGGGAGTCACGCTGCTGTCCGTCTTGGTTCCCAGGCCCCCCGGTGGCTGTGGGGATGAACATTGACATCGCCAGCATCGATATGGTGTCGGAAGTCAACATGGTGAGTGCTGAGATCTATGCCTATCTCTGCGGGGGGG